GTGCTCATTTTATCAACCCACCCTCCCAGTTGCCAGCCACCTGCTGGATGGGTTTCCTACCTGCTCTTTCCTTCTGTTTCCTCCTGCATGGAGTCATTAGGACAAAGCAAGGGCTATTTTGCCATTAAAATTTTGTCACTTCAGCTTTGTCCATTCCTTTCCGGGGTATTTCCATTGCTCTGGAACGAGGGACAGGGAAACCTCTGGAGGAAGCAGACATCAGAAGGACTAGAAAGGCTGTGTGGAGAGCAGGCTCCTGCAGGTGACTTGGGGAATAGACTGAATGTCACATGCGTAGGACAGGAAGAAGGCTGCTTATAAGGGAAACAGCCTGAGCAAAGGTGGGAGGGGACAGGCAGCCTGGCAGGAGTTAATGAAATTGGGGAAGCACAGATTGAGGAGGCCTCGGAAGATGAAGACGAAGGCTCTTCTTAACTCACAAGGTGGTTGGAGCTACTCAGTCTTTAAAAGTTGATATCGATATCAATCCATTACATGGCTGTCCCACCAACTCTTTCACTAGTTCTAGCAGCTGAGCTGCTTGTCCTAGGATTTCCCAGGTCCAAGACAAATCTGGCTAACTGTAATTCTGGTTGCCATTTTCCCAAATCCCACATTTACTCCTCTTGTCTTATTGTATTGAATGAAACTTTCATAATAATTTTTCTTGATAATAAATTTCCATGCTATATTCTTGACTTTGATAGAAATTTTTCCAAGTGTTTCAACAATGAAGTATAACATAATATTGACCATTTTAAAATCAGTGTACAATTGGCCTGTGCTTGGATTCTTACTCACTAACATGCAGGGAATGAATCTTGAATGGTGGTCAATGTCTTTTCCATCTCTTTCATACAGTCAGGCAGGTTTTTGTTATTGTTGTTGTTGTTTCCTTGTTATAGTGATAGGAAGTTCTAACAAATGTTTTTATATTGAACCATCCTTACATACCTGGAATAAAGCTCATCTGGTTATAGCGTGCCATTTCTCCTCCAGCATTGCTCAATCAGTGTGATGGTGGACATTTGTTACCACTGTTAATAGTAGCAAGAATGAAATAACTTGGTACCTTATGAATGAATCATGATACTAACCCCTTTAATTCTTTACTTTTTCTCCTGTGTCTGTTAAGTGCTTACATTACAATTATGCCAAGTTGGTGAAATGAATTAGGAAGACTCTCTTGACTTATAGACTGGACCATTTAATAACATAAGACTGTATCCTTTGAAGATTTAAGACAAGTTTCCCAAAAAAGAACAAATAAAACTTGCTCATGAAGCTAAGTGGACAAGGATATTTTTGGTGCCCCCTCCCCAAAGGCAGGGTTTCTCTGAATAGCCCTGGCTGTTCTGGACTTGCTTTGTAGACCACGCTGAACTTGAACTCACAGAGATCCACCTGCTTCTGCCTTCTGGAGTGCTGGGATTACAGGTGTGCACCACAGTGACCAGCTAAGGCTCTTATTTTAAAATAAAGGCCTTTGTTCTACTTTTCCCAAGATTATTGAGCTATTGGTACCTTCTAGCTGCTCTTGTGTTAATTAGGGTAAATTATGTTTTCCTGGAAAAGTGTGCCTTTTTGTTAAGAATTTCCTATTTCTAAGTATTCAGTGTATATTCTTTATAAATATTATTTCTTCTGTGATTTCAATTATAGCTTTCCTCGTTCTTTATCTTGTTAATTCTATGGGGCTTGTTTTAAATCTTGGCTTAGGTATGTCTATTTTAGTGGCCTTTTCAGATGAGACTGGGCAAGTTCAGAGTGGCCTGGCCATAGACTTTACTGGCCTCACTGTACTCACTTTTGTGTCTGCCTTCTTGTTTCCCCTCTCATTTATTGACTCCCCTTTCCCCTAAGTTGCTTTTATTGCTTTTTCATCTGGCCTTCTGAGTCGAGTGCTTTGCCAAGGTTCTGATTTTCTGAACCTTTGCTTGAGGGATCAAGGTTTTAACGTGTGTGTACCAGCAGCAAAAACTATTGACCAAACATGACCCAAAGGGCAGACACTTGTTGAAGAATGAGCTGGATCCCCGGAGGCAGAAGTCCAGGAGTCCAGGCCCAGCCCTGCTCAGGCTCACTGAGTTTCCACAGGTGCACCTGCCTGACTCCATCCTAGGCATCTGGGAAGGGCACGAGCACTCTCCCTACATGGGTGGCTGCAGCACAGCCCCCTCCACCTTCCAGGAGACAGGGTTAGCCCCTCCCCCCGTTGTCTTGAACCCCAGAAAAACATGTTCACTCTCAAAATCTATATAGTCAGATTTCCTTCTGGAAGATGAAGTCAGTAAGTAACGGTGACAGTGTCCCAGCTGAGAGACGGGACTTCAGGGATTGTGGCCAGAAGTACAGACAGTCCTGTAGCAAGGTAATGGAGTGGACAGGTTGGCTAGCCATGTAGACTTCGACACTGGCTCACCAGGACATCTCATTTTCCTGTAAGAAAGGGATCATATCAATACCTTACGTCTTAAGGTTACTGATGGTTAGAGGAGTTAACCTTTTCAAAATTCTTGCAAGAGTCCTGTGCTTTAGAGTTTCTCTGCAAGTGTTCATTGCTTACAGTTGCTATCAATCGTTGAGAACCTGGGGACAGGGACAGAGTTGGAGATGCTCCCCACATGGGTGGAAATGCTCCCTGATTGATAGAGGTGCCCCCCTCTTTGGTGGAGATGCTACCATGATTCCTGAGAAAGCCCCTCACCAAAGCAGCTCCTGACTGGCTATCTTAAAGACTGGCTACTTACACCTCAGCCCTGTGTAGTCTGCTCTGGGACATGCTCACGCTCTCCCCATCCCCACCCCGGTCAGTCACTCTGTAAGGAAGAATGAGCATAAGAAGGCCCTGGGCTGGTGCAGGCACTGGGTTGAGGTGTCAGCTCTGCACAGTCTCATTGGGCCACAAGCCGATTGCTCCCTTCCTCCGCCAAGTCTGAGTTTTCCATCTGCAAAGTGGCACGAGTCTCCAGAGCTCCCTCTTGAATCTCTTATTGAACAGGAGTGGAGGGGACTGCACAGACTCCCAAGACCCTTGCTTTTCCAGCCAACTGGCTTCTTTCACTTAAAATGGTTTAGCTCTGTATCCTTCTGACCTTGGGATGCACGGACTTAACTTGAAGCTTTGACTTTGCAGAGAGGTGCAGGAAGCCTAACCAGGGCAAACCTGCTCAACTCACCCAAGTCCTGCAAGCTTGGCCCTCCTTGAGATGATTGCCTAGATGCAATTGATGCAGAGGATGAGGGACTCCCAGAGTTAATCCTGGGGTGTTTAACACAACATCTCCTGTAAAGACACCTGAGCCAAGGTACCCAGCCCAAAGCTGGGAGGCAATGAGCAGGGCAGGGAGAGGGCCACTGTCTGGGACCGTCTGGGGTTCAGACTTGTGGGGTGGGGTAGCCTCCATTGGTCACTGAATGATGGCCCTCGAAGGAATATTGACTCACTGAGGGCACGCTCATGTTCTCATGCTACATTCTGGCTTGTCCACACTAGTCAGTGAGACCCTTCTCCTCTGGCCACCTCTTGGCGGGGCTGGACTCAGACTCTCTAGTCATGTGCTGCCAGGCTGGAGGAGAGACTGAGAAGTGTTCTGGAACCCATCTTGCCTCTTCATGCTCAGCAGTCACTCATCATCCTACTCCTTCTGGCCCCCGCATGCCCTACCTATGCTCAGTGCCCACACTCTAGTCCCAAGTCTACTTCATTTCCCCCATCATTTCACAAAGTGGCCTTGCCCGTTCCTTGTAGGATAAGCTGTCAGTTTTTCCCCAAGGGAAGAGTCTTCTCTCAGGGTCCAAAAATCACAGAACCCAGTGTTCTCCCAAGGTCTGGCCCCTAGGTCTTGGCAATCGTCTCCTTGTCATCTATAACCTGCAGGAATGTTTGAAGGACCATGGGCCCTGCTCCTTCCTGAAGAGGCACAGTGGGTCTCTCCTTGCTTATGGTGTTCTGCTACCTTGGGATTTCTTTCCACACAGCCTCAAAACAAGCCTCTTGGCTGTTTGGTTACCCTGAAGACTTGTTCGTAAAATTCCTACTATGTTGCCAAAAAGACATCTGCTCTGCCATGGGTCCCCATGAAACCTAACCCACTGACTCCTTCTTCCACTTAAGGTCTGTTTTGTCTCCAAAATGTCAGCGTGGGCTGGCCAAGGAGAGTCCTCGTGCTCTTCTTGCACTGATTCCTCAACAGAGAGAAAGACACTTGATAGAGTCCCATCCCTCTAGCAGGGCCACGGTGAGGACATGAAGTCATCCCTGCCCTCAAGGAGATGGGAGGCTGCAGGGCACGGGACTCTCTGCACTTGAGGGTCAGGGCCTTCACCTCCATGAGGTAGCAGCAGGGGTTGGGAAAAGCACCCCGCACGCTCACTGAATAAAGGAAGATCTCTGGGTCTTGGGAAGGAAAATGCAATACAAGGCCGGATGTGGAGCGTGGTGGGAGTGGGGGTGGGTGTCCTGAGGTGCTCCACCATAGGCTGTTGGGAGTGGAGGAAGGAGATGTGTAGGCCTGTCTTTAAAGAGCAATGGTAGGAAGTTGTATGTGGCTGGAGGAGGGGGGGCTGTATGCCGAGAACCAATCAGAGGCAGCAGGGTAAAGACAGAGCAGTCCAAGTCACGGTTACGGAGTACACAGCCTGGTGTGCGGCACTGCCATTGTGCCACCTCCCTGAGGAGTTCTGGTTTCTCAGAGGTAGACCACAGTTCTAAGCTGGATCTTACCATGACCGCTGGTGTGTGTGCGTGTGTGTGTGTGTGTGTGTGTGTGTGTGTGTGTGTGTGTGTGTGTG